GCTGAAAAAAGTCACTGAAAATTTTGCACAAAATGGTCAACTTTTGTGTCTCAGACTTGGACCCCAGCAGTTCTAGTCCAACACTACACCTGTTGAGCCAATAAACAAAAATCTAGTGCACACTACGTCACATTTAATATGAATATATGCAAATGGCATAAACAAATTTTGAGGAAAAATTCCTAAACCCTTTGACATTCAGTAACCGTGAAGGGAAGATCTTTCTGTGTCCTAAAAAGAGCACTTTAAAATTAGTTCATGTTTTCAAAAGTCTGAATAAAAGGAAGGAAGGGAGGAATATTTTTAGGTTCTATATTTGGTGATTTTGCTGATTAATTACTTTATGTGATTAAGTGGCATTTTACAATCAAGAATCCAGGAGGTTAGATTAAAAGGCTGCATGTACTTTAAGCAGAGGATTATTTAATAACTGCACAGCAGCATCCCCATGAGGGACATTGTTGAAGGGTATGAAAATTGTGCTGCAGGACATTACAGTCTAGTTTGTTAATTAGCAAAATGAACAATATCCCGAAAGGAAGTGTCAGCACAGAATCAGGAAGTTAGCAAGACTTGCTCAATAGAAATTTGCATTATTTAGCACTGTAACATTCACTAAACTCTATAATGAATCTTTACTTCAGATACTGCAAAATGTTTTTCTCATTCTCTCGGTTGGTTCCAGCTTTGTATTTAACATCTTCGAAACAAAAACTCTGTCCAGTGTACTGATGCAGTGAGATGAAAAATCAGCCAGAAAATATGCAGACTCCCAGTTGTTCTTTCTTATGGTCTTATCATTTGCTGTGATTCATTTACTGAAGTATGACTTTATATCACCCCTCTAACATTATGCTGCATTTGTGCATTTGTCACCCTGGCTAATGCATTAGTATACTGATATGTTTTTGTTGTGCATTTTTTTGTTCATGTTTTAGCTGACTTCTATATTTTGATTACCGTATTTGTATGTTTGCATGTTTTTACCACCTGTTTGCTTATATGTTGCCTTTCATATGTTGTTTTTTTTATTGTTTTGCTGTTTATATTTTCTTTTATTGTTCTATCCATCCAACCATTGTCTTCTGCTAATCCTTATCAGAGTCATGGGAGAATGGCCTATCCCAACCACCATAGGGCAAGAGGGAGGTTACACCCTGGATGGGTCACCAATCTGAGTCCTCTGTGTTGCAGGACTAACAGAGAGACAGACAGCCATTCACAGTCACACACCTATGTGCAATTTAGAATCACCTAAACAGAATTTTATTGTTATTTATTGTTATCATTTATACTGACAATTGGTGGTTTGCATTTTTGCAAGTTTCTCTTGTTTTTTTTTTTTATTTTAATTTACCTTATGAGCCTCTGCCTTTGTTCCCCCGTTGAAGCACGTGTAATCTCCGTCTTTAAAGGTGCTACATAAATCAAGTTGATATAACTATTATTATTACTATCGTCAGATATGAACAAGTGCAAATCTGTAATGTCAGAAAAAGCAGAATTTTGTGGATCACAGATCTCTTAATCTTCAAGAAGACATATAGGTCAGTCAAAATATTTGTGAATTATTCCTGAAAATGCAGCTTAAAAGATGCACAAGAGTATATTTTGACTATTTGCCACACTGAAATTGGCAGTATGTGCTGGAAGGATGGATGTAGTACACTGACAGCATTTTGCCACTAGGGGGGGCTTTTGTATTAAAAAAGTAAATGTAACATTAAACCAGCAGAAGGAGAGAAAAAAGAAACGTGAGTGGAGAAACTGGAATAAAGTGTACACTTAAGACTGGAAGAAGCCAAGGGCTTTGCCTGGATATGATACACTCTGATGTGGAACACATTCACATCTGGATATGCACAAAGACTCTCCCCTGCACACATGGTAATACTTGATTGCATATTGTTTCTTCTTTGCCAGTGACACACATACACAAACACACACACGCACCTCTCTGAGTTGTAGCATCTCCTTGTCTTTTTGCTCAAGCAGACCCTCCAATTGGTGGATGGTCATCTCAGCATCGGCGAGTCGCCTCGTTCGCTCATGATCCTCCTCGGTTGCCCGAGATGACAGGCCTTTACTCTGCAACATTTCCAGTAACTTCTTGATTGACTCGTCCCTGTAAACAAGAAAACAAGGAAGTTAATAGCATGCTTTAGACAAGGTCACTGAAATCATACCTTAACAAATTACATTTAAACTGTCTTTTTTTAATCTTTACCTGGCAGTTAGTGTGTGTTTCTGTGTGTCTATCCTCAACTCCATTTCTTCAACAGTCTTCCTCAGGAGGAAGAGCTCTTTGGCTTGCCTCTCATACTCGGCATGGAGGCGCAAGAAGTTCTCCTCTGTCATTTCTTGAGGGGAAATGGGCTGGCTTCCGAGGCCGGAGTAATCGGATTGGAAGAGCTGGTTGAGATCGCGCTGGATTCTGAGCTCATCTTGCAAAGCCTGGATGGTGCATTGAAGATGCTGGTGGGAGGGAAACAGGGATGTTCAGCTTACGAATGAAAGAGTGAGCGATTACTATAATGGATATTCCAGACCGTGCAATGTCCATCATAGCGACTGTCTAATGTCACCTATAATCCTTTACACCTATTGCTAGTCACTTCGCTTGCTCAGTCCAAAGTTGAGATAAGTTTAACTTGGTACCTGCTTTCTTAGCTTCACTAATGGTAATTTTATAAGTCATTGCTACAAGTTGCAAAATTTTCTATACCGTCTCTTCCTTTTGTGCATCTTTGTATGTAAGTGTCACACGTCTTGGTCAGCTTACTTCACCAACTCACTCTGTCTCTGTAACCTCACTGTACACCAGAATACCAATAAGCACATCTATACAGTAACCTTTGGAACAGGGATTTCTTTAACACCACACAGTGTAAAACAATCCACAACAACGCAGGTCCTTTTCCTCCAGATCTCCCAATGGCTCTTGGTTCACTGTGTGCCAAATGGTGTGTGTGGTAATTTGAGGTTACTGGGACATCTGCTGCCGCAACACTGTTTTTTTATCAGCAGCTCCGTGTTGTTTTTCCACCTCCTTTTTAAGAAGTCTGACCTCATGCCTTAAACATGCTGGAAGGGATTATACAGTATCTCCAGGATGACCCAGGAGCTCTTGGGGCTCACCAGTGCAAAGCAAAGACCTTTGGCCTGCTGTGCTCATCCTGTTGTCATTGCAAGTCTGATAAGGATAAAAAAAATGCAACAGAGCAGGCAGTTTTAACCAGACTGTGGACCTTTGCTGTTTGCTAAAGTTTTTAGTTGTTTAGATCGTCAGCAGGAATACACCAATCAGAAATGCACAAGCAGTAGTCCTGTAGTAAAATGTTGCCTCGTGTTTTGTTTAACTCAATGTAATCAGTGAGGGATTAGGAATTAAAAGGTAAAGAAAAGCTGAATTAATGAATCCCTAATGGGATTGCTCATTTTTAAAGGCATATTACAAGTTTTCTAAACTGTTAATAAAACAACCCAAAAATATAATTCTCTGAACTGGAACTGAAATGCACCATTCCTTGTGCAGTTAAATAACTTAATAAATATATTAAATAATCACATCATTTTCACACTTACTGCAAAACTCTAAACTGAGTTAAAAAGATTTTGCACAGTGATTTCATTTCTTAAACACAACTACCTCACACTATTCCTTCTTACTTGTGATGTCACTTACCAATTATGTGCCTGTGCACAGTCAGCAAAGTGAGATAAGAATCTATAACAAGAATGGCTGGAAATAATCTGAGAAGCAGAGGAGCTAACATTTGAGCCGCGGTGACAGGCTGTGTTCCTGTTCTTGGAATGGCGATGGATGACATATTGTGATTGTGGTGTGGCTCCATAGTGTAGTGGTTTACAGCCCTGAGAGGAGACATGAATCCCTTTGGGGTTGTGTCAGGAAGGGCATCTGGTTTAAAAATCTGCCAAATAAAAGATGCAGAGCTACTGGCTGTGAAAACCCCTCGTGAATAAAGGAGCAGCTGAAAGTAGCTTCTTCTTACTCATAGCAGAAGCTACTTTCACATCTTTCTCATGCAACATTCTGTAATGTTTACAGCATTCATTGAATTCTTTATGCAAAATTATGCTGTGTGAGAAAAATGTCAAAACAAACACATTCATTCATTCACAATAATAGACATGGATGGGTCTTATGAGCCCTAAAATGCATGTGAAACCTGAATATGGACTATTTCATTTTATATTTTTCCATGAGTATGAGTAAAGCAGGACAAATAATAAAACCCAGTCTCAGCAGATTTACCACAGTCTTGAATATTTTGTGTATCCTGCGTGCATGTGTATGTTATTTTTGTAGAATTGCAAGATTAGATTGCAAGATTGTCGCGTCTAAGGGAGCACTGAGCTGAGAGGGAAAGCTTTCAATTTACCAGTTCATATGTGTCCCAAGCCTGTCTTGTGGTTATTAAATCTAAAAATGACTGCAAAAAATCAGGTTGTGAATATCAGCTTCCTCTGTAGGATGGCTGTGCTCAGCCTTAGAGATGTGATGAGGCGGAGCTCGGACATCCAGAGAGATGTCTGAATGTCCACTGCTCCTACATGTCAAAAGGAGCATTTGAGGTGATTCAGGTCTCTTGACAAGGACGTTTACTGGTCACCTTCCTTTGGTAGTCTTCCAGGTGCACTTAGCTGGGAGAAGACACAACCAGCAGATTATACTGATTATCTCTGGAAATAATTCAGGATCCCCTAGGAGAAACTGGAAAGTGTGGCTGGGTAGAAGGGCAGGTAGAATAACCTGCTAAGCCTGCTGTCACAGCAACCCAACTGATAAGGAGAACAAGAGGGATAGGTGGATGGATGGATGAATGGGTAGATGGATGGATGGATGGATGGATATGTGTGTGTGTGAGAGTTTTTTCTGTGGTGCTGTTTTTACATTTTTCTGGTATTTTGTGTAATGAATGCTCAGTGGTTTATTGCTTTTACAGGCTGTGTGTGATCCTTTGAGGATAAATCAACCAAGTTATAATTTGATTGTTAAGTTTTACCAAAAGAGTCCAATGTTTTGCAGATGTACTCTGAAAATTGTGTGTTTACAGTTTTCGGAGGAGCATAGAAGGTTTGAAAAAGTGTATCTTTTTATTCAAAATCATGCACAAAATAGGTCAAGATCGAGCTTATCCAACATGTGAGTAGCTGACAGACCAACTGAGGTAGCATATGTGTGTCATCTCTGTAATGTGTTCTAAAAGTTTCCTGTCAGGTAAGTATCACAGCCATCATGACAGGAGATGATGTGACATGGCTACCTCTTAGTCACACAAAAGCAGCACATAATAAAAGTGTGTGTGTGTGTGTGTGTGTGTGTGTGTGTGTGTGTGTGTGTGTGTGTGTGATGTCACACTGATGTCCCCAGGCTGTTTTAAAATGCGTCACAAACAACCTGAACAGCGGCCAGGTCATCGCAACACTAGTCATGGAGTATTTCCAGAGATAAAAATAATACAGGTACCAAAGCGCTGAGAGAGATGCACATGAGTGAGAGCAGAAGTAAACAGGAGAGGTTATTAAAAAAGAAAAAAAAGATGAGATGCTATCCCTCCCCTGCAGCTATGATTGCTGAACACTGACGAAGAAAAGGGAAACGATTCAAGCAAAAAGGAAAAAAATGATTAGTGAGGAGACAAAAAGAAACAATCCTTAGATATAAAAGATGAGAAAGAAGAAAGGAAAAGGAAATAGCAGCTGATAGTGATCACAAACATAGTGTATGCTCGTATAAACAGACACAAAAAATTGGATAAAAGGTAATGAGATAATACTGTAGCAACTGTCTGTACTCTGCTTTATGTCACACGAGAGCCAGCGCAGCATCTCTTCTGGTTTGTTTCAAATTTATGCATTTGTATTCAACCAAATTAAAGATGGTGAACATCTTTATTGTCTTGATCATTTTCTCTCTTTATCGTATCGCCATGTGTGGGTCGGTTTGCTGACTCATACAAAAGCTCCTCACATGCACACAAATCTGACGGCTGAGGCTGACATTTCTAGGACTCCCCTGAAGATTTAGAGCCAGACAGAGAGTGACAGAAAGCATCCCTTTCCTCACTCAAATATTCTTTCTCTGGTTTAATCCTCCTTCCTCCATCCCAACTCTAATTCCTACCTCTGACATGCAAACAATGACCCACCCATATCCAATAAAAATGCACCATAGCTTCAACTGCTTTAAATAAAGGGCTCACACTAAGTTAACTGATTGATTAGTTGCTCAAAAGACACATAACAATTTTTAATTATCATATCTTAAACACCTTAGTGATTTAATTCTGCTATATAAATTGCTTTGGCAAATAATGGTAACCTACAAATTAACTGATATATACACTCACTGGTCACTTCATTAGGTACACCTGTTCAGCTGCATGTTAACACAAATTTCCATACAGCCATCTTTAGGGCTTACGGAGATCAGAAAAAGAGCGGTGAGCGGTGGTCCTCTGGGTAAAAATACCTTGTTGACATCAGAGGTAAGAGGAGAATGGCCAGACTGCTTCCAGCTAATAGGAAGTTAACAGTAACTTAAATAACTACTAAATGCAGCCAAGGTATGCAACACAACCTTGAAGCATGGCTACAGCTGCAGAAGACCACACTGAGTGCCATTTCTATCAGCTAAGAACAGGAAACTGTGGCATTTTGCACACGCTGGAGACTGGAGGAACACTGCCTGGTGTGATGAGTCTTGATTACTCTTGCGAGATTCAGATGGTAAGGTCAGAATTTAGAGTAAACATCTACACCACCATCCTGCCTTGCATCAGCGAGTCAGGCTGCAATATCGTTGTTAACCATG